GGGCAGTCCGAGCGTACTATTCAGATATTGGAGGACATGTTGCGTGCTTGTGTTACTGATTTCAGAGGTTCATGGGATGAATTTCTACCGCTTGTAGAGTTTGCTTACAACAACAGCTACCAGTCGAGTATTCAGATAGCTCCATATGAGGCATTGTATGGGAGGCGGTGTAGATCTGCAGTTGGTTGGTTTGAGCCCGGCGAGGCTAGGCTATTGGGTACAGAATTGGTTCAGGATGCCTTAGAGAAGGTGAAGGTGATTCAAGAGAGGCTTCGTACAGCGCAGTCGCGACAGAAGAGTTATGCGGACCGGAAGGTTCGAGATGTGTCCTACATGGTTGGCGAGAAGATTCTGCTGAAGGTTTTACCCATGAAGGATGTTATGAGATTTGGGAAGAAAGGGAAATTGAGTCCTCGGTTCATTGGGCCTTTTGAGGTGCTTCGGAGGATTGGGGAGGTGGCTTATGAGCTTGCCTTGCCACCCAGCTTATCGATGGTGCATTCGGTATTTCATGTTTCTATGCTCCGAAAGTATATTGGGGATCCCTCTCATACTTTGGACTTCAGCACGGTTCAGTTGGATGATGATCTGACTTATGATGTATAGCCAGTAGCTATTTTGGGTCGTCAGGTTCGGAAGTTGAGGTCAAAGGATATAGCTTCAGTGAAAGTGCAGTGGAGAGGTCGGCCCATGGAGGAGGCTACCTAGGAGACCTCCGCATCTCCCCTCAACTATTCGAGACTTCAGGTATGTTTCTTGACTTATTCGAGGACGAACGTTTTTTTAAGTTGGGGAGGATGTGACGACCCGACCAGTCGTCTCATGAGTTTTTGCTCTATTTTCCCCATTTTTACCTCTTTATGCTTCGTTATCCGTGTTTTATGTGATCGAGTTGGTTGGTTTGCATTCGAAGTAGATTTGGTAATAAATGGGACAATTAGTCTCTTTTGAGAAGGCTTAAGTTGGAAAAGTCAACCGGATGTTGACTTATATGTTAGAGCACTCGGATGTGAGTTCCGATGGTTCGGTTAGCTTTGAGAGCTGATTTATGACTTAGGAGTGCGATCGAAATTGGTTTTGGAGGTCCGGTGTAGAATTAGGCTTGAATTGGCGAAGTTAGTATTTTGACGATTTCCGGTTGATAGATGAGATTTTGATCCCAGGGTCGGAATGGAATTCCGAGAGTTGATGTAGCTTCGTTATGTCATTTGGGATGTGTGTGCAAAATTTCAGGTCATTCGGACGTGGTTTGGTTGGGTTTTTGATCAAAAGCGTATTTCGGAAGATTTTAGGAAACGTGGGCTTGAATTCGATGAGTTTGGGCAATTTAATGTTGTTTGAGGTGTTTTGATGATTGGAACAAGTTTGAATAAGGTAATTTCGGATGGTTAACGGGAAGATTCTTGGACTTAAGAGAATTCAGAAATTTCTGCTTCTGGTGTTTTCGCACCTGCGGCTTGGGAACCGCAGGTGCGGTGCCGCACGTGCGAGCGAGGAGTCCGCATATACGAAAGTTGGCCTAGCGAGTAGTTTCCGCAGAAGCGGTCAATGGGGCCGCATTTGTGAAGCCGCAGATACAGAAGTGCTGTCGCAGAAGCAACTTTTGGATTTTAATGAGAAACCGCAGAAGCGGTTGGTTAGACCGCAAATGCGGTGGAGGGGTCGCAGATGCGAAAACCCCTGGGCAAAATGTATATATGTTCCTCCTTCGCGATTTCTGAAGGGTTTAACCATTTTAACTTCGGATTGAGGGCTTTTGGGCGATTTTGAAGAGAGATTTCAAGAGAACTTGGGTAAGGTAAAGATTTTGGACCTAAAACACACTTCTATGGTAATATTTGATGGATTGGGACTGAAATTTAAGAGATTAAAGGACTAAAAATGGAGGTTTAGGGCTTGAGTTTAAGAAAGCTTAAATTGAGGATTTGAGGGGTCAATTGAACTCCGATTCTTGTGATTTTGATATGTATGAACTCGTGGGGAGATGAGGAATCTAAAGATGTAAAAATTTCTGAGTTACGAGAAGTGGGCCCGGGGCTCGGGTTTTTGCTAATTTCGGGATTTTCGATATTTTTCGATTATTTTCGCTTGGGTTTTGTTCCCTTAGCATGTTGTGATGTATTCGTTTTGATTTTGGATAGATTCGACGCGCGTGGAGGCCGATACGAGGGGCAAAGGCATCGCGAGCTAGAGTTGTAGTCGGTTCGAGGTGAGTAATGATTGTAAATAATGTCCTGAGGGTTTGAAACCCTAGATTGCACATCGTAGTGCTATATTGAGGTGAGAAACACTCTTGATGATGAGCGTGGGGTCGTTACTATTGGGGATTGTGACTTGGTCCGTCCCGATTGATGATTTTACCGCGCATTTGACTGAAACTTGTTTGTTATCATAATGTTTTGGTTGATTGCCATATTTGGGCTTCGTGCCAATTATTTGAATCCTCGGGGGATTTTTATCATTGTTTTCCTCACTGTTTTGACTTATTATTTGAACTTAGTCCTGTTGGTATCTACTATTTTACGAACTCAGCCGTTTTTACTCAGATTTGAAACTTAAATGATATTTCTAAATGATGTTTTGGGCTGAGAACTACTGTGTTACTAATGCCCGAGGGGCTTGTGATGATTTTTAGCTTGAGTGAGGCCGAGGACCATATGTGAGTATATGCCCAGTGATATGAGGCCGAGGGCCTAAGATACTTTATATGCCACGAGGTGGCTTGAGTGATGTGAGGCCGAGTGCCAAGTGATGTGAGGCCGAATGCCGAGAGATGATGCCACGAGGTGGCTTGATATAGCGCTTAGGCCGTAAGGGGACCCTCCGGAGTCTGCACACCCACAGTGAGCGCGGGTACCCATCATGATCTGAGATTGAGCCTGAGGGGCTGATATTGTACTGAGAGTGAACCCGAGGGGCTGATACTGTTCTGAGTGATTGTTACTATGCCCGAGGGGCGGATTTCTACTTGTTATTTACCTGCTAAATTACCTGTTTTATTTGGTTAAACGGAATTTCATTTGACTTCTTCATGGATTTACTACTTTAAGTGATTTTACTGCTTGATATAGAATTGCTTTGTGCATTTACGTGTTTTCTTGCTTTCAGCCATTATTTCTATTTATTACTCACTGGGTCAGAGTACTCACATTACTCCCTGCACCGTGTGTGCAGATTCAAGCATCGCAGAGTCCACTCCTGAGTGCTGATCTTCCCAGTCCAGGCAGTGTTTCCGAAGACCATGAGGTAGCTGTTGGTGTCCGCAGCCCCCGTGCCTCCCTTATCTTACTATTATCATGTTCTTGAACTTCTGTATCGGATTTCATATCTAGTAGACTGGTATCCGAATTTATTAGTTGCTCATGACTTGTGACACCCCGGTTTGGACTATGTCGGGATGGTTTCTACTATTGTTATCATTATTTTTGTAAATTATGGTTATTATATCATGTTTTAGAACTATTTATGGTATTTAACTGTTTAAAAGAGGTGTTCCGTTTTGGTCTGGCTGTCCTTGTCTTCACGAAAGGCGCCATCACGACCGAGTTCGGGGTTAGGGTCGTGACATTCTGTTAACTACATAAAATTTTATTTTCATTCTGGGTGCATTCTTGCAAGATCTTTTGTTGTTCCCTTCTCCTCCGCAGTTGCCTCATGAAACCTTGTACTTCTTTGAATTTATTTCATCATATGTTTTGTATCTTTCTTTTTGAGGTCTTCATGGCTGCCTTTTCCCTCCTTGAGGTGGATTTACTACTTCTTCAGTTATATGTTATGGCATATTCCATTTGCTCTTATCTGGCAGCGGATTTACTGGTATTTCATACGTATGCAAGAGGTTCTCCCTTGTGTAAAAAGGAGAACAATATTCTTCAAAAGACTCATACCTTTGTCTTAAAGCAGCCATAGCATGTGGACAAGGTAGTTCATCAAGCTAGAATTGCCCACAACCACATTTCTTGTTTTCAAGACAAACAATATAGCGCCTCACACCATCTATTACTGTATGGATGTAGTCTGTTGAAGCACTCACCTACGAGTACATTACAAACAAAAAAACAATTCATATATGGTTAAAATCAAGCTATATACGAAATATCTACGAAATATCTTCAAAAAATCTACATTGTGCTGTTTATGAATTTGATTCAATAAATAATCAGATCTTACTCTAAGCTTGTGTGACAATGTTCTGTTGTCATCTAACTCTTTGTTGAATTTGTATCCAAGGTATGTGAATGTACCCTTTGCTTTCAATAATTTTTCTTTCGTCCAACGTTCAAGAAGGGTCCTCATATACTCTAATAGTTCTACTATCGGCAGCTCTCTTGCATATTTTGTTGCAGCATTCAACGACTCTGCAATGTTTGATATTATAGTCCAAGTTCTGTTCACCGTAGCATATACTCGAGACCATCTATGATATCCAATATCGTATAAGTATGTTTTAACACAGGGGTCAATCTCCTCAATCTTTGACATCTTTTCATTAAATTCATCAAGTGTGTATGACCGCGCCGTGACAAAGTATAATTCACTTAGCTTAAGATGTCCCTTCTTGAACTTTGCCAGTATATTTGTCCAAATATGCCACATGCAAGAATAATGTGGCATGCCGAGATAAACAATAGATGTTGCCTTCAAGATACTCTCATTTCGATCCGAAACAACACACATATTTGGTCTTTCACCATACGCGAGCTTGAATTGCTCAAAAAATCACTTCCATAATGCGTCATTCTCTGAATCAATAACAGCATATGCCAGTGGTAATATAGTACCTACATTATGTGGCAAGAAGCAATTAATTGGCTGCAGTAAAAATGCAGAAGAAGACATATATATACAAAATATAATTATTTTATAATATATCTACAATTAATCTACAAATACTACAAAAAAATACAAGCTACAATATTTCTACAAATAAAACTTTAGTACCTGCTGCATCCATTGTACTGGCTATTAGCATTATTCTCCTGTATGATGACTTTAAAAAGGTTCCATCAACTACTACAACTGGCCTACAATATTCCCAACCACTGATTGACGTACAAATCACAACAAATACATACAAGAAGCAGTCATCTTCTGTCTTCTTCAATCTAACTACAGACCCCAGATAAGTCTTCTCTAGAATATACAAATAACTAGGCAATTTGTTGTAGGAGTCAACAGGATAACCTCTCAAAAACTGTAAAGCTTTTTCCTTTGCTCTCCAGGCTTGCATGTAGGTTAGATTCACGTCGTGTTCAGACAACATGTCAAGTTGAATGTCTTTTGGGGTATAAATTGTCTTAGGATCAGAATATTTTGGAATAACCATGCTACCAACTACCATGGCAGTGGGTTTGCGTTGTATGGATGTATTGTCCATTAAAGAGCATGTGTGCTGGTTGTCGAAATTTCTGACCTTGAACATTGCAGAATCATTTATACTAGTTGCCTTGAAGTGCCATGTACAGTTTTCACTAACACATATCAGCCAGTAGCTACAAAATAAATACATTTTAAACAATGGGTTAAAATTTAGATTTAAAAAAGAACCTGTTGTAGCTTAAAGAATCACATTATACATTATAAATACAACATAACTACAATTCAACTACAATTCTATTAAACATTATCACAAGGAAAACTGAAGAACTAAAAAATTACAAATAAACTATAAAATTAGAAAAATAATAATCTTTGTCTATTCATATGTTCATACCTTCTAGCACTAGATCTTTTAACCCTGAATTGGAACTTGTGCATGACAGAATAGTGCTTCATTGCAGTTGCAATTGTTTCCTTGTCTTGGTATACTTGTCCTACTTCAATAGAGCTTGGTGTACTATCTGTTATTATTATACTTTCATATTCCTCTATAACGGGAGATATTGGCATATCAAGTAACTTTAGTATTCCACACGAACCTGCATGAAAATAAATATAAATATTGTTATCACCAGTTTGTAGAAAATTTGTAGATA